TTAGATCGTGGTTCATGCCAAGAATTTCTGTTATTTGGTATTTCTGACGAAATTTTTTAATAGCTGTGCAGTCTTTCAACAGATGAAGAATAGAAGTGTTTTCCGATTTACACCAATAGCACTTTTTTTTAGAACAATTTATATATGTATCATTAACCAACTAGGAATATTTATTTAGACGAAGTTGTAATAATAATCGTTTAATATTCATATTTATTTCAGTTATAATAAATCTGGAGTCAGAAGGAATTTTTAAAATTTGAGAATACCATGGATGATAAGCCGATTGCAATATTGAGTTTTGATCTTGGGTTATTGATTGCGATATGGCCGATTCTATCAGTAGTGTATAGGCGTTATTCCAATTTATGTCAGATTTATCTAATAAAACACTTGAGATTCCATATGTTTGAAGTATTTTATTGAATTTGTATTGCCAAGTATCTATGGTGGCATTTAGAACATTTGATTGAAACATATTTTGGTGTAAAAATTTTATATTCTCATCATCTGTATTTATAAGTTGGTAATAGAATCTCATTAATCTTTTTAAAAACCAAGGAAATAGTTGAATCCTATTTGTTTCTGCTCTAATGGAATATCCTGGTACCGTTCTCTCAAGCTTGAATAAATTATTTTGTGATTATTTTTAGATGTTAAAATCAGAAATTGTAGTTAAACAGAATAGGATTTCATTATTTAAAAAAAAAAAAAAACTTGTATTGTGAAGTCTTATAACATTTCCAAAGCAGTTCACTACATGAAACTCCTGAAAGTGAAGCCAGAAAAATACTCCTGGAAGTCAGTTTTGTATTAAAAACACATCTTACAGCACTTATTTGACTTTAGTATTTCTTTATGGATCTTGCTAAATTAAAGGCTTTGGATTAGTAAATAAAATTGAAATACTTTAAAAGTTTACTACTACTTTGATAATATTTGAATGCAAGTTTGCAGATTAGAGGAGCAATATGCCAAAAAATTTTATCAGCTATTAAAAATTTTATCTCTTAAAAAAATAAGTTTATTTTTATAATGGAACGGTAGAAAATTCTCTGTATTTACTGACAAACACTTCAAATATTTAAGTCAAACATAAAAATATTACTTTATTGGAGTCAAAAATGATAAAAACAGCAATTCGTCTTTATGGATTATAAACAAAATCAAAACGTGAAACATTTATTTGGAATGTATGATAAGTCTGGACCCATAGGGGTCACATTGAGGTGAAGCATAGTGCCGAATAACGCAGAATGAATTTGAGTTAATTTGATAATGACCTGTTGTCAATGCCAAAACATTTAACGGGTTGTATCTAGACATTCCACCAGTTGTGCATGATAGTCCAAATCTAGCCTTTCAAACTCTTCGGTGACTTTGTGCCAACAGAGGGTTCTTGTCAAGATAACTTCAGTGTGTTCCTCCTTACTCACTGCCATGCTTCATTCATAAAAGAATAAACAAACATCAATGTAACTCCCATGGGATCAGACTTACAGTATTTGACTTTGTTTGAATTTTTTTTGCATTCCCCGAAGATAGATCTAAGAAGTTTGAAACTACTAGGAGAGTAGTTTTAGTTTTTTAGACTCTCTTGATTCTGCTTCAATTAGTATTTTTATATTCCATTCAGGCTTATTACCTATTTCTGAAACCGTATCGGCATCAAATTATTTGGCAAATAAATCATTGGATTCTAATAAATTAGGACAGAATTCAAACATTACAGAAATTAGACAACACTATGGAATTTTTGAATTTACTGTACTTAAACTCTATATAAATAATGTTGGTATAACATATTAATAAGTTCTTTGCACACAATCCAGGCTTATATTTGTGCAAATTGACTAGTAATTCCTCAGAGAGTTGAAAAATGTGACAATTTCAGACTTTAGACCTATACTTAAAGGTGTAGTCTGATGGTTTACAACAAAATTTTTACAATTTTGTCAGATTTGTGTACTAACAGTGTAGTTTTAATGAAAGAATCAGAGTTGGAAGTTTAAAAACCGAGGCACCAGAGTCAATGGTTTGGTATACTAATTTCACTGTCCCAATAAAAATATATTTAAGTTTTTAAAATATGTTCTGCAAGTGCATAAATAATTGCTAAAATGATTGTTTGCTTTTTATGCAGCTAGAAATTCTCTCAAACAATATAATGTCTAAAATTTAATCTCATTGTTTAATTTTAGGTTACCGACTTACAAAATTTAATACCAGTTTCTAAAGTGGTGAAATTTCTATTATACAGACATTTTACGTACATGAAATTGAAGTATTTCCATCTGCAAACAAAATTGGATCAATTTCAAATTCATTCCCAACTGCCAAATATAATTTCAAAAGCAAAATATATAAACACAAACAAAAGATTAGATTTATATATGTATACAGTATATTTATAGAATCCACAATGATATATTTTCAAAAGGAAGCTAAACAAATTATAAAATTAGAATTGCATTAAGTAATTTATGATTAAATGCTTTTAAAAAACTTTAACCAAACATTTGAAAGTAGACAGATGCTAAATAATATATATATATATATGTAAAATGCAAACTTCCTGATGATAAAAAATATAGTAAATTACAAAACAACAAATTTTTTATGCAGATTTTAGTAAATCTTAACTGTCTTTAATAAAATTTTACTTTGCATGCAAAGCTCTGTTTTGAATTATTCTGTAAGGAGTATTACATAATGCAGTTTTGTTCAATTTAACTAAATTTAAAATGTAAATATGGATAAACCAACTACTCGTCTGCATGACTGAAGAAAGTTTTCAGAGTTTTGTAAAAATAGTGCATCAAGTTTGACAGACAAGTCGTTTGCAGCCGTACCGAAGTTCAGCCAACCGCTGCTTTGATTTATTGATGACATTTTGTAGTGAGACAATAGATTGTTTTTAGTTTCTAAAAATGCCTACTATTTGTTTAAAAGGTTAAGTATTAATATGTAGTCAGAGTGTAAGGTAAATTTAGTATATGAGAGAAGAATTCTGAGGAAAAACATTTAAATTTGTTAATACCGTACATCGATGAGGGAAGAACAACTGTGTTGGAATATTTTATGACAAAATTTACACATGAATGTTATCAATAATTAAATTGATATATGGATAATTTATTAAGGTATTTGAATTAAAGCTTGAGAAATTTTCTTGCCATGTTTGTATGACAAGAATAACGTTGATTTAATTAAGAGAATCTGATCGATTTTCCTCGAGTTTAATTTGTTCTTCTTCATAGAAATTTTGAGAAAAATCATGTACTAATTTTACTATTATATCATAATGTAGGTATTGCAGAGGGTGTCAGACTGGGCACTTGCCCCTCCTGGAATTGAGTAAATAATCCATGGATTATAATCGTAAAAGTGATTGACATACATAATCTCACAGGGACGCTTTATCTTTTAGTATTGATGCAATTCTGTATTTTATAATTTACTTGTGAAAAAAAAAAACCCCAAAAATTAAAAATTTATTAATGTAATCATTTGTCTCCAAGCTTCAACTGGAAAATTTTCTATCAATGTACGATCTAATAGTAAAATTAAGTGTTAATACAGATTAGATATTCCAATACAGAGAAGAGAAAGGACACACTCCTAGTCAAGTATTTTATAGAATATATGAAACAACAAAATAGTTTTAAGATATTTTTTACAGTCAGCTAAGAGTCCGAGAAGTGATTTGTTTTGAATCGATGAATGAGCTTTATCAATTTCAGTTAAATTTTCCTTTATCAGAAGAGCATTTTAATTTTGAATGCTTTAAAAAATTTGCTAAATTAGTCATAAAATCGCACGTAAAAATGTTACTTCTGCACTTAAAAAAAAAGACAACTGGTTTTTTTAACAAAACAGTAAAATGTCCATACTACAAAAGTCAAGTTTATATAATGATCTTGCTTTACTAATATACATGCAAATTTTATTTATCATCATTTAATAATATATATTTATAAAAAAAAAATATCAAGATATGATGGCACGAAACAAATGTTAGCTCTCGTTAGGTGATTTTGCACCTGGCACCTGCAAAATTAATGCAAAAAGTGACTTGACTTTTTATTTTTTTCACTTGTAGGTTTTACAGCACGAGTCAGTGCTTATTCTTCCACAGAACAAATATTACACAAGACTTATTTATTTTTAATGTATTTTGAATGGCTGGTTGTATGTAAAAGGTAGCTTAATTAAAGTCCAAAAATAGTTAACTATATTATAGAATTTGTGCCAAGGGGTGTGTGATTAATCTTATTAGTAAAAAAAACACTAGCTCAAAAGTAGTTTAATCTTTTAAATACTATTCAACTAGTAGTGGTTTATTGAGTGTTTTCTTTAAACTATATATTACATCAAAGGCCAGAATTTTGTCCATAAAGTTTTATGCATTTGTGTTTAACAATGCAGGAGCATTGAATTGTTTGGAAAGAATGTGCTGTAATTATTATATTACATAAATCCATGGTGGCCAAACTGTGGCTCTCGTATATTGGATCCTTATTAATTAGGAGTAGAGGATCTGACTTAAGTGCTTTTCTTCTATATGTGTGTATGTATACACATTTCAATACATGATGCAGCTCATGTATTTCTGATATGTGGTATATGGCTCCAATTGTAATGAGGTTTGACCACCCCTAGTATATATACTAAATATTTACCCATTCAGTTATTGTTTTCTTTTTATTGGATATTTTGGCTGCATTTACTTGGCCTAATAATTGCAGATTTTGTTAAAGGTAGCTTGATTGTCTAAAACCAGACAATTGCATTCTTGCCTGAAGCATTATGTTGAAAGGCTACCTGTTATCAAATATGTAAATTTGTATTCTTTTAAAAATTAAATTTATTTTTTTCCCCAGTCTTTTTGCCTTTAACCAGAAAACTAACACATTTTATAACTGCCTTTAAGCCTTTCCTTTTGTAAACAAGTATTTATGCAGTATTATATTAACTTTTTCTGTTTGATATATTTACAGGAACAGAAACAAATCTGCAGGAGATCTATAGAAACGGAAACGGATGATATATATCTAAGGCTTCCTGATTCTCTGAGTACTAAAACAGCCATTCTTGTTAATTCGTTCTCCTCACCTTCGTCAATAAAATCTTTTGATGATGGAGAATTACCAAATACTGCTGTAAATATTGACTTTATATTTCCATATAGGAAATTCTGTAAATTTTTCAAATAACTTTGTTTTTTATATTTTCTCCCATAGAATATTCAAACAGATAATCTGGATAGCAATAGACAAATTATCATATCGGCATCTGCATTAAATTCCAAAGAGAAAATGAATCAAAAGTTACTTAACGAATCCAAGAATGGGTCCCATCTTGATCCTACGGGTTGCTCGCAAGATAGTTGCTCTCCTAGTCCTTCCGTGCTGAGTATCTGCGATGAATTAGATCAATCAAAGTACATGGGTATTAATCAGTTGAATACGAGCGACGGAAACAAAAGTATACAATTGTTTCAAGAAGACAAGTATATCATTTCGTCGAACGGAGTATTTGACAGGTATGAAACGAAAACTCAGGACAACAATACTCTGACCAATCCGAACAGTCCCGTAATACAGTCGAGGAAAGTCTCTGGTGCAGACTGTAACATGCTGCGCATTCAGAAAGAGGATCTCTCGGACACAGACAGCCTGGCAAGCGGAGGCACTGCAGACACACTAGACGATCATCAGATTGAGTGTCTGCTACTTGACAAGTTCTTCGAGGAGGACTTCCAGACGTTGACGAACGCGTGTGAGGACCTGGCAATTAACTCCGACCTTTGAAAAAGTACTATTATCTAATTTTATAGATATTTGACATTACAAAACGAATCAAGATAAGTTTAATTTATAAACATTCTGTCGTTTAGAAAATTATTTATAAGTGATTGATTGTTAACTCTTATACTTTGTTACTGTTATGTTTTTATTTTCCTAGAGCTGATATTAGTACTATGACAGCATACACATATATAAATTATTAAATTTATTGTATTAGATACAGTCATTGCATCAGTTATCTGGATTATTTAAAGAAAGTTTTAACTATGTTACTGAATACAGCACTGATTTTTAAATTTTTTATTTACACGATGCAGAAATAATCCAGATGATTGACAAGCGACTGCACTAGCTACTGTGATATATACATACATATATAATTTTAAAGGCAGTTTATGGCTATGGGTAATTGTATCTTCAATGAAGACACTATTCTAGTGATTATCTTCTGTTTACGGAATGAGAGATTCCTTGACATGCATAATTGTGGTATTGTTATCTTGTATTTGTATATAGTAGTGTATATACATATACACGTTAGTTTTAAGGCTTCACGGGTAATGTGATAATTTAGAACGTTTATTTATTTATAAATATTTTGTTAAGTTCTTTAAAGCTGTTTTATCTGTATATATGCAAGACAAGAGCCGGTTTGGAAGACAAAAAAAACAAGGAATATTTATGCAAGTAGTAGATTTATTTACAAGCAATTTTGCTGAGTTCGATCTTTCTTGATAGCACTTTACAAAAATTATCATAGAACGTAGAAATAAAGGAAGCATGACGGCTAGAGTCGCAAGTGATAAAGTGCAATTTCTTCGTGGCCCCACGATGGATATGCTTCTATAACGACTTGAGACATTCCAATTTATGATATTTTTTAAAACGAATGATCAAAGAAGACAACCTCAAATATATACATTTGACGTCAGGCAATCAACAGTTCGATATTTTGTCTAGTTTCCATTATATGAATTTGCGTCTTAGAGTTAGAAACCAAAGCAATATCACAAACGTGCAGCTATTAGAAAGCACACTAATGGAAATTGACTTCCTTTGCAATAATTGTCGGCACAGTTCTCGAAACTTCATATAAAATACTTAATTTAGAATAATTTATTACAGTGCACAGTTTATGCTAATTATCGACACTACCTTTACGCTTTTTGGCACGTATCATTAAAATACTTTCCTTGAAAATATTTTAATTTGAAACTACAAAAAGTATTTATTAGATTTATCCGATGTTTTAACGTAGATTTCAAATTGCATAAAAATTAAAATGTTAAAAGATTTCTTTTTATTAATGTAATTTAAATACCTGTAAAATAAAAATCATAGTTGGCAAGATTATAGTCTGGTGTGGTTGTGTATTTTGTATGGCAGGCTTGTTTTCGTTTCTAGTATTTTATTTCGTAAATACTTGTAAACAACTAATCTACCAATCAATACAGTATGAATTACAGCCGTAATGTATTCCTGAAATCAGGAAGTGTTTATTTCTTATGGGAAAATTCTAATTTTAACTTGTCCATCTGAATAACCCAAATGATGCTAAAATAATGCAGAATAACTGTTTTGTAACATACTAAAAATTCCAATTCCCATGCAAACATCACGTAAGCATTCATTAGTAAACAATTTATTCATTGCATTATTATTAACATCCCTATAAGACTATTTTTTTAATACTCAATAGACAGCTATGGAAATGTAACATTGTTGTATAGTTTGTACAGGATCTTCGAAAATGAATACCATTTCAAATTACTGTAATTATGTTAATTATTATCCAAAGAGGTGTGACATGTAACCGTTGAATTTCATCTCCTGTTTGCATTCAAACATCTTGTGTACCACCTCTAGGAAGTGCTGTAAACAAAAATGGTGACTTGGTGGAAGAAGACATTTCATGTTCTGTAGTTTGCAAAGCCGGAGTCGCTCGTCATCATGCAACACAAAGTGCATGCATTAAATTGTAATAGGCAAATGTGAAACTTGGACTGTTTTTTAATGTTTTAATCTACATAACGTTCTCAGATAATAATTTAACATTGCTACCATTTTGAATTGTAATTTTCATTTTGGAAGATCCTGTATATAAATTACTATTGTACAAACAATACAACAATGAAAATAAAACAAACCTATAGTAGTGAGTCTATTGTAATGAACCATTTATGCAATTTGTGAAAAAATTAACTAACTATTAGAATGTGTGCACACCTTTGAAACAAAACAGACACCAGGAGTGAAACAACTTTTGAATTTTTCATGTTTTAAAGAAATTTGTAATAGCAGGATTGTTTAGTATCTGTTGCAATATAAAAATCAAAGAACGTTTGTTGTAGGTGAGATTTGGATACCGGAGTATGACTGTAATTTCATCTCCAATTAAAGAACTGTAGTGTGTTCCAGCTAAGTTGTATAATTTGTACCATAGTGATTTATAAAATTTAGTTTGCTATTGTTTGGACGTAACGGATACAGATGCCATTTGTGCTACAACTCAAATATTCGAATGGATGAATGACGAAAAGAAGTAACTAGATGACAGCAGAAGTAAGTATTATTATTAAATAGAATAATGATTATAAATTCTATTTATAAAATCTTTTATTGTATATTAAAAATACTATATATAAATTTGTATAAAAGCAAATTAAGTAATTAAATTAGATAAATAATAATATAATATTAATAATCTACAAATAACACTGAGGTTTCAAATAATCTGGAGTCGTTAAGATCTGCGTTCTGTCGGATGATGTGTCTTGATTTTGTGTGACTTCGGCTTTCTGTTCCGTTTGATTCAGACTGTTACACGAGCATCCGGTGACTATCAGACACAGAACTACGGCCAGAATTGCCACGCAGGCTATCGACGTGTGAAAGGCAAGCGTGTTGTTTGATTTCTGAGCAAATTTTTCTACCCAACTGGCGAGTGTAGAATTCAGTACTTCTTTGGTCAGGAGCAACATTGCTATTTGTTCTCTCACGCCATCCAAATAGGGAATTGCCAGTTCGCGGTGACCCCTCAGAGATCCGCCGGAGACGAGATCTTCCGCCATGGCACCCAGTACTTTCTGTACCCGGGGTTCCTGTTCTTGTAATTCCCACCATTTGGTTCGGGCTCTAGGCGTGAAGTGAAAGGCAGATTCCATCAGTTCGTCGCCGCCTGTTCTCAGGGAGAGAAATTCAGACTTGTTTACGGGCAAATCCGATTTGACGTAGACAGTTCCGAAGGCCATTTCTCCGAATTTCTGAGTCATTCCCTTTAGAAACAAAGTATATGACAGACTGGGAATGGGCAGGTGTTGACCTGCGTAGTCGAGAAGGAAGCACTTTCTAATGATCATGTTGTTTAGTTCTAAGTAAAAATCTATAACTTGTAGAGGATTTGTATTTGGAGTTAATGTCTCTCGAAATTTATTCAGCTTCACTTCTATCGTGTCTAGAAGAGTTACGACACTATGAACCCATCGTTGCGAACTGGTCTCTTGTACATTCTCGAGCACGCTATCGGTGAATTTCCAAGTGACAGATAGAACGTCTCTGTCTGTCATATTTTTGGAAATTTTCGAGAGTAACCAATCAACAATAGACACTACAAAAAGATTTTTAATTATAAAAAAGTCTTGCTTAAAACATATCAAAAAGTTATTTTGTATTAAGCTAATTACCCAATTCATGTCCGAGTGCAAATGTTACTTTCCCAACGTCTTCGTGCGTGTGAAAAACTCTTGTAGTTTCTTCTGCTATGTGACTATCCTACAGAAAGTTTAAGATTTATATTAACATACACTTTAATATTAAAAAAGCCAAGATTTATGAAGTGTAAGAGTAATAAATGAGAGACACTACCTTGACTGCCCTCGATACTAGTAATCCGGCCAAAACTGCAGTCCAAATGACCAGAAAACCTAGGGCAAGCGAGACGAAAGCAAGATGTTTTGGCGGATAAATGTGCGACTGCGATGCCATGTGTTATCTAAAACGAATGTAAGATAATTTTTAGTGTTTAAGACTTCACAAAACAATTAATTGTAGGATATACATTCATCTTAACTCGTCTCGATTTATCGCCACTAAGAAAAGTTACGCGACTAATTTAAGAGCTAACTTGTCAACTTTTCACCACACGCGAAACTAATTCGGAGAACTTCGACCGACACCCTCACTAAAAATACTTTTCACTCTTCGAATATATCTTGCTGCTCACCGATCCACTTTTCCCCCAACATTTCTGACTGTTTTTAGAGTTCAAGTAGTTCCAAAAAGGTAATGCTTGAGGCCACATTTGGGTAAGGGAAGGGCGTGGTGTGGTGTGGTGCACTGTCAACACTTGAGTAGGAAGGGAGCAATTTGCATAAGACAGTATTAACCTCCGACAAAGGTTAAGTGGAGTTTTATTTGACAATTTAAATAATATTTTTTTGTAGCTTAAAACTAGTCGAGTTCTTTTTACACCAAATCGAGTTACCAGCACCCGGAGGAACCATAAAATTTGTAAAGAAGCAACGGCAAATATCAACATAAAGAACTTATGGTTAAAGGATAAGCTCGGATGGTTTTATAGCTCTTTTTTTTAAATGATTACTTGTACTATATTTTCAAAAATCAAAATATTATGGATACTTTTCCAGTTTTAGTATAAAAAAGATGTTAAACTGGAATGTATTGCTACATCCCTTTGATTTATACAGCTACATGTATGAATACACAGTAATTTAGTACAGTTTACAGATTTTTGGTGAGAAGAAAGCATGTAAAATTGTCTAATTGATAAGATTGAAGCTGATTTTAAGCCACATTCTGCTTTTAATCGTGATTATGAGGCCGAATCAATTAACTGTTTGAACTGTGATGATTAAATTAATAGAAATAATTGATTTCAAGCAAGATTTTCAATGAATAAATCACAGATCATGCTCAAAATTAGTCTCTTTTATCATTTAACTAAATTTTTGAAATGATTTGGTGTTTAGATCATCCAAAATATTGAATTTTAGCTCAATAGTAACGTGTAAAAACAATTTCCAGCAGAAAAAACTAAAATGGCGATTATTGTACAGTTGCTTAGCATCATTTGACTATAAAACCATTCATGCCTTTTGTATCTTTCGAGTAAACAGGATGTTGCCATAGTAATCGCCCTTTTTGTGACAATTTCCTAGAAAACCGCCGCCAAAAGGTGGCATTAATATTACCCATTCGGTTATAAATTTAAAATTGTTACCATGGTGATGGTAATTTTTTTTTTAAATAACATCTATCGCCATGGCAACTAACGAATGTTTTTAAAACTGTTACCACGGCGACGTCTGGTTTTACGTTTTAAAAACGCGAATTCTGACAAATAGGCTTAACATAAATTACGATTTTACGCGTAAAACCTCTCGAAAAATACTTTATAAAAAAATTTCCTCGTGTTTTACCGATGTAAAACCGTTGAAAATTAGAAAAAAAATGTCCGAAAGGTAATTTTTGGTAACCATGGCAACTCGGTGTTTTTTAGTTACGGACGACAGGGGGCGAAATTTGAAATTTCGGATTTAAAACAGTCGAACTTACCTTGAACTCGAATCTACGCAACAATAACACGAAAAGCGACGAACGACTGAGAACAAATTCGCTGATCCTGAATCGTACGAGAAAGGAAACGGACGGAAACGCATCAGTTGGTCCGTTGCCATAGAAACGGTTCTACACGGCAGCACCTGGAGTCTAAGTGCAGCATCCACCCCACAACACACGACTGAACAAACCCCGGACGTAGCAGGTGTGCGCAACACCTGGTGGACGTTCACCTTTTTTTTTATTTTTATTTTTATTTTCTTTTAAACATTTCGATTAACCCTCCGAGAAATAAAAAGACGTAAAAATGACCATTATAAAGTTTCTAACCGACGTGTTAAGGCTTTTATGTTATAAATTCGCGTTAATTATTAACTAAAATTGGCAACAATGCTAAAATATAAACCAGACGATTATTGTTTAATCCGATTACGTCGATATTACGTAATTGTCTTAATCGATTTTATAAGTTTTAGCCGTAATTATTTTAACTTTCGGGTTAATAAAGTTGCAATTTTGGAAGTACTGTAAACGCGTGTTTAAAATATTCAATTTATATAATAATAACAAGTTTAATTAATTAATTAATTAATTATTAATTAACTATTCATTCGAAATTGGCAACACATCAAAATCAAAACCAAACGATATTAACCTAATACGCCACGCTAATTTCTTCGATTTTATTAATATTTTATTAAGTTAAATTGCAAAAAGGCCGTTTCTCTCTATTTACTTAAAAATGAAAAAAATCTTTAAAAATAATATAATATAATAATACTGTTTTATGCATAACGGAAATAATTTATAAAATTTTTTCCAAATTGGCAACAATGATAAAATGTGTGAAATTAAACCAATACGTCACAGTTACATAAGTATTGTCTCCAATTCAAATTTTCAAATGTTATGTCTGAAAATGACGCATTTTTCAGACATAAAACACATCTTTAAAAGATTTTTACGATAGTTAGAAAGATTATTATTGTTTAGATTGAATTTTCCAAAAGCGTAAAACAGAAAAAGAACAAAAAGAAAAAAAAGTTAAAACTCTGCTTGTCTGAAAATCGGTTGACTACATCTTCTTTCAGGCAAGACGAAGCGAAAAAAATGTTATACTTGGCTCTTAAACAGGTAAAAAACGAGACAATTTTATCGTGTTTCTACTTAATTTTTATCGATTTTTAGCGATAAACTTTTAAATAAATCGAAATAAATCCAAAATGTCGGCTCTTTTAAACGTTTTCTCCCCTATTCTAAAGTCTCTAAATTGCTCGGTTATTTGTTAAAAATCTTATAAATTTAACAAAATTCGACTCACACATTAAGCAGAATTCTATATATAAATTCTCCAATGGTTTCTTACTCTTGTCTGTCCGTCACGCTTTAAAACTCGGTTATTATTGTTTTATTGAAATATGCGATTAAATAGTAATTTATCCCTTTTTATGGACAATTATTTCATGTTTTTCTGTGCCATTTTACAACAGAATGGTCCATTTAAGAGGATATTTTGGCAGCAGAAATAATAGGAACAAATTGTCTTTATTTCAAATACATATATTTTGGCTTTTTAAAGAAAAAGTTGACATTATTACGCGGAAAGTGCGCTTTGTAAAAAAATTAATTTTATATTTTTGGATAAAACAATTTTAGAATAAATGGTTGCGAGACGCGTCGCGTCGCGGTTCGCAACCATTTATTCTAAAGCGTTTATCCAATTATCGTAAACATACTACGAGACGTGTCGTGTCACAGATGCGACGCGACACGTCTCGTAGTATGTTTACGATAATACACAAATGTCATTTAATTATACGATAAGATATAAATTAATTCGTTGAATAGTAAAATGTTTAAATATAAAATCTACAAATAAATTTATCGTAAATATACTTTTTAAGTTTTGTTATATACATCATGCGCTGCGGAAGGTTTCGCGTCGTGGATGCGACGCGTCACGTTGTATTAGAATAATGTGTTCGCTTTAGATTTATTTTGATATTTTATATATAAGTGTGTTACTAAGTTACTTAACGAATTGATTTAAAAAGTACTAAACTACAATAAAGTTTGTTTATATTTATTTTATCATAGCGCTTCGTAATGCATCGCGCATGGCGTCGTCGCCATGCGAAGCGACGCGCCTGACAAAAATTATTCAAAACTTTATTAATTTGGGAGGAACCGAATGTAAAAATGTCGTATAACAGGTTATATTAACAAGAAATTGTTTAATGACGTTTAATTATAATTATACTAAATTTAAATAATTTTACAAAGAAAAAAAATTGGTTTTGTTACAACAGAGCAGCTTGTTTAACAGCAGAGACAAAATAGGGTGCGGAAATGACGTAGAATCGACGATTCTACGTCATTTCCGCAATAAGTTGTGCCTATTATAATTATGGCTATTGTAAGACGAAGCTATTATAAAGAATGAATTGGAAGGAAGTGACGTAATCCAACGTTCGTGTGCCGTATTCTGTAAAGCGCCATCTGCAAGGAAGGAATCTAACGAATTTTTAAATTTGTATTAATTACATTAAATCCTATTTAATTCAAACCATTCTTTTATATATTTATTTATTATGCGTATAATTATTATCTTAAATTCTATAATGAAAATAATCCACATTAAGCCTCATTTTTTAAATGTATCTTAATTTATATCTTTATAAAATTAATCCATAGACATCTTAAATTATATATAGCTTAACCAGATTCGATCGATATACTGGTCTCTCGGCCACGATTACTAGAATATAAGGTTGGAGGACGCCCAAAACTTGTCTAGGATAAGCTCACCAGGGCGGCGCTATCAGCAACTCGGGCCTATTTTCATCCAGAGTATGTGACACTACGCACAATACAGCATTAAACTGTACGCTATCGTTCTATACAGTTTATACTGATGTACTGTACAGTACATAATGATCTTTACATCCTAAAGTGATTAAGACCGAGTTGCTATCTGTTACAATATCATCAAATATCCTAACAATAACAAATTTCTTATCTTCTACATACTGAGAGATGTGTTTTTCACAACAGTAGTAAATACAGCAGCTGTTTGGAAGGATGTAGGAGTCTTCCATAGCTTTTGGTTATGGTCAGCCCTACAATTTTCTCCCTTGGTCCCTTCTGCTCCTGAGGAAAATAGTAGGAATTACGTCCTGTCTTTAGTGTTGGTTGTAAACGCTACTCTGTATGGCTATATCTCGCGAAAGGTCACATTTAGAGGTATGCTTCCTTTGACTTTTTTGCTCTTATGGACATACTCTACAGTTCTGTTAAGGTTGCAATAGCGTCATTCGCATCTGCAATTGTACTCTAAGGAAGCAGTTCTTGGTGATTTCGAAGTCTCTTGGTATATACCTTCTCCGCGCATTTTGTTTCTCCGGATCTCTCGGAAACGAACACATGGCACTTTTTTTACAAGAGGCATGGCCACTTTGGAACACGTTACTCAGAAGGCATCATTACATCAAAATCAAACGATTTCTATATTAATTAACAAACCCGCTATAGCACTAACTAAAGTGACCCGAATTGCTGGCAGTACCGCCCTGGTGACAAAGTTTGTCTCTNAAAATCGAATTCGAGTGAGCAGCTCCCAGATATAGACGGTCGGAAGGCCGAACGGTCAAGGTGGCAGCTTATCGCTCTGGGGAACCCGGGATCGAATCCGTACAGATCAGGAATATTTCGGAGTGTGGTCCGACCGGATATGTCGGTCCCCGTCCCTCATCACCCAGCCGCCCCATTGTGGGCCTGGCCGAACCCACAATGGGCTTGCTAAAAGAGGCCCTCTTAGTGCCCATAGGGTGGAGAGTTAAAAAAGTTTGCCTTGGATATTAAAATTCATATTAGTAATTAGTACATTATTTAATCGTAAAGGGCTAATTTTTAAATTTAATTTAATTAGGAAAGAACTACAGCTGGCAACAGTTAAATTAGCATTTAGCTCTGCCATCTAATGACAGAACGTGAAATATAACACTACTATTAAAATTTTTCTCAAATTTTTATATATTATTAATTATTTAATAAATTATCTATTTTAAAGCTAATTTATTATTATTTTACTTCAGTATAATATGTTAGTTTTTAATTTATCGCAATTATTGTACTCCCCGCGTTTCTTTATGCAGCGAGAGTGTAGCGAAATGACGTCACGAGCAGTGTTGGCCAATTAGAAACCAGTTTCAGTGTGTTCGCTGTAAAGCGCTTCTCGAGTGCTGCATAAAGAAACGCGGGGACTAGCAAATTAAATCGACTCCATCTGGTGGACAGAAGTGTAATTGAAGATGATAGGCTGGAGAAGATGGAGGAAGTTAGTGATGCAAGCCAGCACATTTCAGATGATATTATTTGCTATATTACTCCATTCGTTGATATCCATATTCATTATATATACTCATTTGATATCCTACATAACAGATGATGAGAATTGGTAACTTATATTTTGATATTTTCTACAATTAAAGTGTATTTTCAATGTCAGCCTCTTAGAATCCCTAGCAAAGTGATGCTGGATAATTATCCAGTGAAGTTTATATTGTATATTACCTGATAAAGGGATACGAAAGATGCATCTGGACTATGTAGGCATTATAATAACGATTTATAATTATTAATATGATTTTTTAAATAAATTTTACAGGAAAATCAATGAAAAACAGCAAAGAAATTTGCCTAGAGTGATATGGAACAGGAAATCGGCAATGAACCTGTTATCAAGCGATGTAACACCTCAGCACGAGATCTCCCTTCATGGGTGGTGGATGGATCACGCCAAATGGGACGTCGACGTGCAATGCTTCAATCAGAAGTGGAGCCTCTGCTCAAAAGTACTTTTACGAAGCTTTAAAATCATGAAAACATGATTTTAAAACTTCGTAAAAGCATTTAATTTCCATTTCCGTTTCAGGTGTTAAGTACCAAATGTAAGAGCGACGGAGTGCGCGCCGTCTATCAGTATCTTCCAATTCGTGAACAAAGTCTGTTACGGATTATAGACATTAATGTTCGCGCTTCCTTTGATGAATTAGAACCTCAGGTAAGAGATTTGAGTAATTGGTTTTTTGGGAACTTATCAGAACTGTAGAATGTGCCTCTACAAGTAAAAAAGTCAAAGGAACTGATGGTCTATGTGTGACGTATAGTCTTCTGAAATTTAGCCCCTCTGGTTGTTAAACCTGTGATAGACTTAATTGAGCATGCAGCACGACTTCAATTGTGCCCCAGGAGTAATCAGTTAAGTGGCCTTTCTCGTATTTTACGAGCTTTCAGCCGTCTCTAGTAAAGCGGAAAAGAGGTGTTTTCTAGCATGTTTTTGAGAAATAGTTTTGGGCTTTTCATTTTTAAATTTTACCCCATTTTTGAGGGTCCAGAAATCCAGATGGACCAATTTTAGGAAATCTATATCTCAAGAAAGATCACTTGCAGATCATCAGTTTCTTTGACTTTTTTACTCTTTTGGGCATAGTCTGCAGCTCTGATAAGGTCCCAACCATCTCATTCAGAGCTGCATTTGTACCCAAAGAGGGGTATCATTTTGAGTGATTCTAATTTTAATCTGGTTTGATCTACTGGGAATTTTTCTTGGATTCTTTGAACCAGTATGTTGAGTCCTGTCTCTCACATTCAATATTTCATCGGCAAAATCCAACAATGTATTCAGGGAGGGTGCATTGTCTTTATAAATAAATAAATAAAAGTACTATGTACAGGAAAAATTTTGAAATGACAAATGCACCTGTACTCATGTATATACAATATATAAGAGCTTATTCTTTATCCACACCACTAGTGACTACATCCACAGTAGAGTAAGGGTGAACATAGTATTGCTTGTTCTAACTTGGGCCCTCTAATGTCAGTTCTTATTATGCTACTGACAGAATCACAACAGTACAAGTACAAAGGTGATGGGACTGTCCATAAATTACATAATATAGAAAAGGATGGAGGGAATGCGCATAGTCATTTTAATGCATTACACATGTTTACAAAAACATTACACAAGTATAATGCTAGGGTCTCAACTCTTGGGTAATAGAATAGATTCATTTTTGTTTCAGAAATGTTGCATAAGAAACCATACTGTTTACGTTGCTGTTTTGTATCCCATGCTGTGTATTATTTCTTAATATAATTAATTGATGTTACATAATTTTGGAGGTGGGTATATGCAGTGGTGTTGCAAGGGGTGAGATGGTAGTTGAAAGATATATAATTTGTGTTAATTTATAGACAATCACCATCTTGGTCTATCTTTTTGAGATATAAGGTCATTTCACAAGTGCACAAGACAAAGGATATTGCATGAATTGTGCGATGTTTCAGTTGCTATCAAGTCTTTGGTGGTCTTCACTATAGACTCAAGTATGTTTGCAAAATTGAATGGGCTGACTTTGATTAAACTTTGCCATTTTCTATTAATTGAGACGAGGAATCTAAAAATGTAATGAAGGTACATTTAAATGTAAAAAATAGGGATTCGGGGGTTTTCGATATACAGAGGAGTTAAACTGACAATATATGTGCTCTCTGATATGACTAATGGACTTAGGCCTAGAGGTCAAAAATAAAAACAGCATTGTGTGTACTTAATGGAAAATAGGTGTGAAAAACAAACAAAACACCATAACAAAGCAGTCAATGAGATTGTTTTGTTTTTAGATCACCCCCTCCATGTCAGCCAGTGCAAGGATTGTCTCTTCGTATCTGGCCAATGCAAGGATCGCAACTTCTGTGGCCAGCAGGTACAAGGATTGTCTCTTTTGTGGCAGTAAGTGTGAAGTTTTCCTATCTGTATCCATCAGGTACAAAGATTGCCTCTTCTGTGCCTAATAAGTGTATGAATTGCTTTTTTCTGGCTCTGCCTCAATTGTGTTACGATATGATAAAGTTGTGCGATGTTGTAGTATAATTTATAAAAAGCAATTGTATAACTATAAGGGAGCCACAGTAAGGGTCTAGAAGAGCTGTATGCAGTTTGCAAGCTGCATTTTGGCCATCCCTGATGTATGTATAATATAAATTTGTTGCCTTTTCTAGGCAAATTGATTATAATTTTATATTAACCTGTATTAACAAATTTGGGAGAAGTTGGGGGAAGCTTATGTTCAACAGTGGATGTCAAAAGGCTGATGATGATACAGTTGAAACCCATTCTATGACTGTATGAAATGCTGTATTTAAGTGGCATATTACTTTCCTGGCTGTTATGTATACCTAACAAGGAAAGGTATTAGAATCGTGTCAAATTAGATCCTCCGAGTATTTTGCAAATCTTCATGTTTTGAGACATCTCAAATTAAAAAATAAAAAAAGAAAAAGACAGGAAAAATTCTGTGGACATGTGTGTTGGCATCTAATTCATTTAATGTCACAAGGTGTGGTAAAGATGAAATGAAATATGACATGGTAACTAGTGTATAGGCCCACCAGTGGCCAAGCTGTTCCATTCTCCGAACACTGGGAATCCGGTTGTGGGTTTGCACCTCAGCAGGATGTGCAGGCCATGTGAAGTTTTCTAGGTTTTCTCCATGTCTGTAACACCCAAATAGCAACCAGTTACCCTTAAAACACTTCCCAGAAGACATTCTCTCCTAGGCAGATCGTCCAAGTGTTGTGTTGCCGTAACTTAACTAAACAAACAAACTCGTGTATAAGGGGCATCAATGCTATTAACTTTTGGTGGTTAAAAGTCAAAGGATGGGAAGATAAGAGAGGTTGAGTCATATCTCGAGTGTGGTTAGACTTAATTAAGGTTTTATTTGTTATTAACATTTACATCTTTGTTTTTATAAAACTCATCTCTACTCTGAAAATTAAGCTTTTGTTGTTTGATAATAATTAATAATATAGAAATTATTTTTTTTAACAAAATCTCAAAGAAGATAGTGCCACAAACAATTTTAATTTTGTACTAGTGTTTGTTTACTTGGAAAATTATACACTTGTTAGATTTTTTTGTTTTTATTAGTTGTTCTTTCATAATATTATATACAGTCGACCCCCCTATAATTACGATTCCTATAAAACTACGAAAAAATATACGTATTTTGGAAATGTTGAGTCGGATTAGTGTAGAATCAATTAATTTTATGGAAGAAAACCTTTCAATCAGCCGTAGTCCGTAAACTTGACACGTGTCGGGCTGTGATTGGAACGACTTGTAAGAAATCGGATTCCTAATAAATTGGAACGTATCTATATCTTATAGGGGGGTCGACTGTAGTTTGAACTACATTTTTAATTTAATTTGTTTGATAAGTCAAATAATAATGGATTTTTTGGCTATAATTCTGCAAATTTTTTAATTAACTAACTAAAAATTAACAATTATAGTCCAAAAAGTCTAGCATTTTTTCATCTGTTTAGATATGTTCTGCTTTGACACTAATGCATGTTAAATTATATATATATATATATATACATATATACAGTGGAAACTTGATCATCCAAACTTGACAGGAGCTTAGGATCTTTTGGATAATCCAGACACTTGCTTTTGTGTTTGGATACAACATAAACACTGTGCATTTAAAGTTTCATGACATTTCATCTGTTGATTATAATTCTGAAAAACTTGATCATATATGTACTCATAAAGAAGTGTTGCATATGAGATATAGCTTCATGGTGCTACGATCGACAGGTGACTAGAGAGCCTGTGAATAGCAATAGGCTCTTTGGCAGACAATGTAGTGATTACCAGTTGCATAAAAAGTTTCTCTCTCTATATTATATTCTGTGGTTAAAGGTCAAGGTTTTCGGTGAGAGTCTATATATTCTGTGGTGCATACAATGCTACACATTCTACTTGTTTTAAACCAGTTTGGATAATTGAGTTTCCACTCTACAAGGTCTGTCTGGTAAGTTCCTGAACTTTCCAATTTGCCTGCTAGTGAGTGCAAACGGAATGTGAATCATGCTTCCATGCAGTGGCAGCATTGGTAAGTATTTTAGTGAAAACTGCACTGCACAATGTTGCATAGCTCTCCCCATTTGTATCAACGAGTGTTGTGTGTTTGTGATTTTTATTGTATTTAAAATGAGAATAAAGTGTTTCAAATGATTTTCACAAACAGCAAATTTGTGTGAAATTTTGTGTTAAATTGGGAAAATCCTTTATCGTGAAGACATTTGAAATGTTAAAAATAGTATTTGATGTTAACTTTCTTAGCATTAAAGTCATGCTGAGAAAGTTATTTACCAGGAATTTCTTTGAAGAAGCAGAACAATGACAAAGGAATATTATCTTGAAGTAATGTCTTGAAGTAAACGTCTTCACGAGACTATCATTGGAAAAGGCTCTATGCTTGGAAGTCAAACTGATGGATGCTCTGTGCACATATTGCTATTAATCTGTCAGTTTTTGGCAAAATGCAAGAAAACTGTTATTCCCCTCCTTACTCACCTGATCTAGCACTGGTGGAATTTGTTTTTACTCCCCAAATTAAAACTGAAGTCAAATTGTTTGAGTCGATTGACTTGTACTGTGCAGTATCTCAAATGAAGCATTCCAGAAATGTTTCAAAGGATTTACCAGACAGACATTGTATATAATATACATATAATAATATACAATTGCTAATTTAAATATTTAAAATAATGTAAACTATTTTTATTTGCAGACAAGTGGAGCAACATTTGGTGCCTTTGTTCTCATAAAATTATCGGATGAAAGTTCTGATGTAGTCAGGTTGTTCTGTTTGTTTATTTTTCAATGTTTCATACATTTAAATTTTCCTATTCTTTAAAATTATAATTTTAACCAGGGACAGATCTAGAGGAGGGATGATAGATGGTGCAATCATCCCCTTAAGAGTTTTTATTGCTAACAAGAGCTTTAATAAACTTTTTAAAGAAATAATGAACTTAAACAGTGTTAAATTAAACTGTGTAAAGCAATTTTCTTTACACAAATTAAAAACTTGCCCTCCCTAGATTTGCTCACTCGATTTTAATGATTGCAAAATATTTCAGGATTCAATTCTTGCCCAATATAAAACCGCAAACTCTACACAGTGCAAATTACAAAACTCCAGAAAACAAAACCATTGCAAGCATCACCGTCATGCTAACATGTTATGGCTTCTCGGGTACTGTCCACTTTACGGATGTCAGCATTCTTCCTCAACACGGTGAGTCGCAAGAACAATTTATCTTTTACTAAGTTAATTTTTAGTTTAAATGAAATAAATACGAAACATTTAAATAGTAGTAAGCGATAATCTGTTTGTAATTTTGTAATAATGATGCTTCGTTTAATCATGATCAAATTATACAAATTATGCATTTATATTCTGGCATCTGGTGATCCAGCACTGCTTTTAATCCTGACAGAATTAAGAGAAGTCAGGTAAAATTCCGTCTGTCAGACAGAATGGTCACAGATGGCATTTTGTAGTGCATGTTCATTTGAATTGTTGCATTGCAATTATTAATATGTTTCTAAGCAGAAAAAAGTGTCAGTGATATTAAATGCAAATGCCAATCAAAACTTTAATCCATATTTAAGTTTCTAGCAGTTTATAATGCTTTAGAGGTACTAAAGGTATACAATTAGCAGTATTAAGATTTATATTATCAAATTATTATTATTATCAGTGGCGTGCCGTCATTAGAAGCGTTGGAAGCGCCGCTTCCCTCGTATTCTCTAAAAAATAAATAAATATCAATTTTAATTATATGAAAATAATCGCACAATATTTTATTATAACCGCATTATGTATCTTATTACAAATTTCTNAGTAAGTTTTTATTATTTTATTTTTAATTGTAGCCCTTATATCATGGCTAGCGATTCGGAATGTAATTGTGATATTAAAAATGCATTTAGAGAAGTCTACGGTTTTTACTGGCTTATCGAATAAACGATACGAATGGATCCTAGACCATTACTGACGCGCGATTGACTGATTGCCCTGGATGTCGGCTTCTTACAGAAACACAGCTTCCCTATCGTCAAATGTCAAGGCACGCCCCTGATTATTATTATTATATGATCTTGGTTTGGCAAGTCTTTGGAACAGTGTCGGAAAGTACAAGGTTGATCCATATATACTTCACTTAATTGTCAAAATTGGATTTTTAGTTTGTGTAGATTGAGTTCAAATTTTACTTTGGTCATAGACATTTTTATGTGGATTTCTTGGGACTGAGAGCATTATATATAATTTTTATCCATTTAAAAAAAATAAAAGATCAGAAGAGATGCCGCAAAGTCCTGCAAAGGCAGCCTTTGATTGGCAAACATCAAAAGCTGGGTTTCTGTGTTGAGTTAACCTGGTTTCCGATAATGACAGGGGAGAAAATTATGCTTTGCATCTTATGATATATACAATTGCTTCCAAGTTGACGCAAGTTGAAAACTCGATTGCCAGCTCTTAAATTTAATACTTAACTTTGAAGTTTAAATGAATGTTAATTTAATTAATATAAAATGGATTCGTACACTACAGAGTTTAAAAAATGAATAAAACAAAGCAAAATGGTAATGACACTGTATTTAGCTTCTGTTTTGTTAATAGTATGGCAGAAAGTAATGCTGTTGTATGTAAACAACATCTCGTAACCACTTAACGTGAGACTATGGAGATCACAATACTGTCGCAATTGGAGTGGATAAATCTAAAGACTCTGTTGTGTTATCCAGGGCATCTTAAAACTATGCGATGCAGGAACATGTCACAGCTACCCAGTGCCCCGGACTGATATCTGGATTGCTTATGAAGTAGAGTAAAATGATTCACCAATGTAATGTAAACCATATTGCACAATGAAGTTAAGTCTATCGTTTTAAATGTATATAATTATATTTTAATTGTCAAAATTTGCATTACAGCAATAAAAACAAGTAATGATACATGACAAACTCAACAGTCAGTTTCTGAGCAATTCTCTGAAATGATGACACATTATATAAAAACTGAGGGAATTAACCAAAAATCCAAGATTTTCAAGGTTTTAAAGTTCAAATAAGAATGTGTAGTAATAATTAAAATGTGAATCATAGTGTAAGAATACAGGTTATAGGATACCACTCCTATAAACTGTTTGACTGTCAAAGACTTATCAGGAATGCGGTCGTATTCCATACATTTGTCATTGGGTCCTGTCTTATCAGGAAGTCCATTTTGTATTGTCATTTACCAATTATTACCACCTCGTTTGACAGTATTTTTAAGAAATTCTTACAAAATCATGTCTTAAATGATGCATAAATAGTTGAAAAGGCAATTATTTATTATCTAAAGAAACAATAGTAAATGTATTTAAGGCACCAAAAGATTTGGAATTATTAAAAAAATGAAAATAAGCAATACTATGTGCAGCTCAAGAATTGACCGAATGCTACGATGTTTGTGAAAAACATTTTTCTCCGCATCAAATTCTTTGTTCGTGGAGAGTATATAAAAATGATGGAAAGGATATCATTAGCGCTCCTTATAAAACTCCTTGACAAACAATTTTGAGAAACATTAAACACCTTGAAATAAGGAAAAACTCATCACTCTCTGTCAACAACCTTTTTAGAGTATAAAAATATCAGTTTAATGAAGATTTTTAAAAAATTATATGTGTATTCTATTACTTTGTGTTAATTTCAATAAAATAATCAAATTAGAGTTTGATTAGCAATTGTTGATAGTGGTAATCAATTGTAAAAAGTGGACTTCTACACTGTCACAATGTCTAGTGGATACTCGAGTAAGCTCGACCACTTTGTCAACATCCTTGAACAGAGAGTGGTATCACCCGTATTCTTACACCATGGTGTGAATCGACACAAAGAAAATGAATAATGGGGATTGAAAAGTGAGGTGCAGATGAATATGTCTGTCAATTTTCTAAAGATGCTCTTAGTGACTTTGGACAAAAGAAAAGCTAGTCGATTGATTTATAATTGTACAGGTAACCCCCGTATAACACGGTAGTTACGTTCCAAAAAATTGCCGTGTTATGCGAATCCGTGTTATACGAAACAAAGAACTAATACGAAAAGGAGGGTTAGGTTCCAAAAATTAAAAAACATGCTAGTATATTTTCATAATTAAGATAAATATCTTCATTAAAATTTTTTTAAGTGATACATATTAATATAAATTAAACAATGTTTTCTTCGTCATCACTAAAAACACTATTAATTAACCGAGAGCGTTTTCTTTTTGGCAAGTTATCCTTATCCTCTGAGCATTTTTCTGCATTATCTTCAGATCCATGCTTTACCTTTTGCAAAATGTATGTAATTTTAGATTGCTTGCTTCTAGTTAAAAGGTCTTTATAAATTTCCTTATATGGTGCTAAGCACTTATGAAGAATAAAGCAAGTATGGAATAAGGGAAAAACATTCGGCAACATCAGAAGCAGAAGCGTCGCGATCTGGCAACATTGAAACAAGTTTCGAGAAGGACCACGTGTATCGACAGAAGGCGAGAAGAGAAAATTTACATACTTAAGTACTAATAGTTCACGAAAATAATAATTTTCGTGAACTATTATTACTTAAGTATGTAAAAGTTTATTACATTTCCTGTTGTACGAGGGTTTTACCCAATTCTCGAACCTTGTCAGAGTGAATCCGTGCTATAAAAGTACCGTGTTATACGGGGGATGGTACCAATTCTCAAACTGTGTTAGAGTGAATCCATGCTATAGAAGTGCCGTGTTATACGGAGGTTACCTGTAATTTAAAACCAACATATAATCTACACTTGCTTTCAAATCAGCTTAAACACAGAACTCTCTTTTAGTGCCATAGTGCCTTAAATTACAGTTTCCACTATACAATTTTGTTCAGATAAATGGATTTGTATAGACTATTGCCCGGCGACAACTCCTTTACGGGTGTCGAAATCGCACCTGTAAAAATCCACTTTTATATGATTGGTCATGGGGAGAATATCATGATAAAATTTAAAAAAAAAATAATAATATATGGATGAAAATTTTGGAAGAATTAGAAATTGCTATTGGATGGAATACTTATGTTGGAAAATACATAGTGCAATCAAGTATTCCTGTTTGGTAACTGACAAAACTTCCACATAATCACCCATTGCTCACTTGACGAGCTAGTTCTGGACCCTTACCTGTCTGCATGCTAGAGATAGTTTGGCTCCTTATCAATACAAGTAGATTCATAACTTCGTCCAACCTGCAAAAGCCTACTGCACTGACAGCTCCATATAGTTGATGGGAGTAAAAAAATCAATAAAAATATTTGATATATTTAATTCCATGCAAATCAAGCTGCCCGTGGGTAAGAGGCGCCTGTTCAAAGTTATGTTTTAGTGCTTCCATAAAATAAAAATTTCTTTAATTTTATATATATATATACACATACTGTCAAACTTTACAAGTGTTTTGTCGTAGTATGGGACTAAAGGCCTGAAGACACAATCGTAGGGTTTGTGGGAGTCTCATTGTTAAATCCTCCAGTTTGACAAACAAACCCACTGCCACCCATGTGAAACACCCAATGTGTACACTTTGGCTTTATTTATAACCATAAACTGTGTGGCTATATTGTCCATTGTTATGCAAATATCAATCTATTTCGTTGACAACCACTGTATTAAAATATTCATTTTATTCATTAAAGTACACTAATGGTAAGTCTGGGGATCCAGCCACTTGTATGCAAGTATGCACGAACTGCATACCTACTAGAACTGCCTCGTTTATACATTACACCAAATGAGCAGCTCTGATCGGCAAAGAGATCATCCAGCAGTATTGATGGATAGAGAACGATGGTCTAGTTTAGTCTATACTACACCATTTAAACTCAGAAGGGTTTGTTTGGATTGCTCGGACTTTACCATACAGCCATCTGGCAGGCAGGCAGAATATTTAAATTTAAAGTAAGAAAACAGTGTGTAATTTTAAGTTTTTTTAAAGTAAATTGGATGTAAATACATTTAAATAGTTTACAATGAGCTTTATAATAATAGTACATAAGATACAGCACTGTAGTTATACAATGATAAATATAAACTTCTCATTAGTGTCATGAAAGATTTCTTAATACAAGGAATTTATTCATTTTAGCAAGTTGAGATAGGCTATGCATTTTTGAAGATAAACACGAGCAAAAAGTATTTTTAATCATTTATACCTATATATTTATATTTTTTGTATCAGTTATGATGACTCCAATAGTGGAAACGGTGTGACTAATCGTCACCTCGTGCAGAACGACAATATGTTTAAAAGTATTTAAAGAAAGCAATTCCTGTTATACATTATAAAAACACTCTGCCCTGCTGGCATTAAGAGGGCCTTTTTAATAAGTCCGTTTTGGATTCAGCTGGGCCCAGGTCGGGATGGCTGGGTGACAAGGGACAGACATCTGGACAGACCACCCCCCCAAAAAAATTCCCGGGTGATTCGATCCTGGATCTCTGGAGCAGTAGACTGCCATGACTTTCATAAACAAAGTTTTTTGATTCGTTGTTGAAATGCCAAACTGAGTAATTTTGAGTAATACATTACGTTCATGCTAAAATGGCCATTCTTAGAAACACTAAGATTAAGCCTTTTGGTTGCAGATTTTGCCAAAATTAATTTCTAAATGCATTGCTTTCTGCAATCTCCTCCTCTGCAAACTGTTTTAAGAATTCTCGAAGGAGTTGTGTGTATTTTTATTAAATTAGACACAAAATTCATTTATATTTTTGGCTTTATTAAAATGAATGCACCGATAAATGAGTGCAAATTCAATTTGCATTCGTAAAACTGTTTCTAGCGAGATATACACATGGCATACAAAGGTTATGGTCAACTTTATATTATTAAATCTTTCAATAGAATCACACAAACTAAAAATGAAATGTAGCTAAATATAAAAGTATGTACTATAATAGTACAAAGCAATTTGAATTGTTTTTACAACTGCAGATCTTTAATACTAGCCATAGACTCGATGCACACGCATCAAAATTGACCTTTTCTAAGACATAAAAGTATTAAGTTTTGAGTGTGTTACAAATTGCATTATGTAATTGAAAAAAATCTAGTTGGGATCTGAGAATATCAGCTCTTTTCTTTCTAGAAACTCATCAGAAGTTATGGAATTCCGCCGAGCAGCTTATACAGAAATGCCCTCATCGAGTTTCTTCTAGAAAACTGCAGAATTGGGTTTTTAAGGAAGAATCGTTATGGAAAGCTAATAAACAAGAGTATACTATAATTTATTTTTAACTTTTTTTGCTAAATAGCAGAACAATTCTTAACCTTTATTTCGATTTTAAATCATTTAGCATCAAAACTAACGACGTGACGGATTTAGTGACTCTGGTGACTCAAATTTCCATGGACAGAATATCTATTCTGGAAAGAAGTCTCACTCAGTGGAATGGTCCGATTTCGCTAGTCGTGTACATTCCTTTGAAAGGAACCACTAAAGAAGACGTCGAATGGCAAAGGTAATTGTAATAGTAGTTGATTTTAGTCTGTATTTAAAAAATATATATAAAAGTGTCATAATGTGGCATCGGTATGTTTTAACCAAGAGGATGATTTGATTTGATTTTGAGTTACTGGTTGATTGTTCATTTGGTAACTATGGTGATATATTGCTATTTTACTGATTAGTCACCTCAAGTAATGTTCCTTAAGGTTAAAAACAACTCATTAAACTTGCTGCCATGGTGTGACAAAATGCAACTATTGCAAAATTTATTCGTCATGTAAACAAGTAAAGTACATTGAATTTGTTGTATAATTCTCTTGTATTAATGTAAATGCAAAAACTGAAAGAAATGTTATTTAGATTTCCTTCATTTATCAAAATGTCTTATTGCCTTAGCATGGTATCCTGGATGGCATTGGCATCACCTTGGTCTCAGCTACTAACTTGCAAAGTGACTTCTTTAAAGTACAATTAATTGATACAAGATGTATTCAAACTAAAACAGGTAAATTAATGCAATAAATATGTATAGTTCTCAGCCTTTTTGGAGATGAAGATGAAAAATTTCACTTTAAATACTTAGTACTTTTGGGACTTCACCAATTCTTAGTTGTACTAAAACACCTGCAACAAGCAGGATATAGATTCTAATGCTAAATATTGTGGACAGATTATGCAATTATATCCATTCCTCTTACCTCCCACTACAGGAATGACCACTCACCTTCTATTCATCCTGAGAATGTATTTTCTTTTGGGACTAATGCCAAAAATTTTCCAAAATCCACCTAGTTCCTACCTAGAATATTGGAAGAGGCATCCATGTCTGCTCCCACCTGTGTTCTGGCATTATTATTAATGACATTTTTCAAGGAGAAGAACAAAGTTATAGGTGGATGGCAAGAAAGTGTGTTAAGGCCATATTCTTGCATTATAGGGAACTTTCAGATTTGACTCTTGGCCAAATTCCCAATACAGCAAGAATGAAAATCTCCATTTTTAAAACTTGATGTCATTTATTTGCTCTGGTTGGTCAATTTAAAAGTTGCAAGTGCAGTATTATTATTTTTCAAGTGGCAGCCATCTATTAGCTATATTTTATAAAAAATTAGCACTGTCTAGAATTGATTGTCTGGTGGTAAATGACATTAGATTGTCTACTTGGACCTTGTTTATAAATAGGACTTATTATACTGATGTAGTTTTTGATTAGCAAAAAGAGAGGAAGTCTTAGTCAAAAATCAAAACAAAATGTCTTTGTCTTTATTTTCACCTGGAAAATAAAGACACAGACATTTTGTTTTGATTTTTGGAAGGATGGGAATGAGTGGTGTAGAACCAGTTGATCTGAGGGGAGTTTTGTTGATGTTAGAGAACATGTTTCCTTTCTAGCTAGAAAAGGCTTGTAGAGATGAGGGACCAAAGGGAAGTTTTCGGAGGCATACAAAGCTAGGGGTCATCTGTTTACACCTTCGCATCCATTCTACTAATATGTTTGGCTGAGTTTAGTTTAGTTGGGAGCTTTGAAGTGATAGAATCTATGTTGTGCTTTTGGTACTAAAGGATGGAATTGAAACCCTGAAAGTATTAGGATTTAAACAGAATGTTTTGTCCTGTTCTCCAAAAAAGCAGAGAATTGTACATGAAAACCACTCATTAGGGGGACCAAAATATATAAAAATTACCATAATTTTTGGTCTGATACCTATTATACAATGTAATCAGGTCAGTATGCAAATTGTAAAGCAACAAAATGTCATTAGCTACTGATTGATCACTCAGTTAAAGGGAGAGCAATGAAATCTTGCAGCTAAAATATATGTATTTTTAAGCATTTAGTTTATTGCTTGTTTATTTATGGACTTTTGTGAGAAATAGTCATTGGGATAGGACATTTTTGATTAAATAATGCATAGACAAAGAACATAGTATTGGCAATATAGAACCAAGCTTCTTGGACACTTTCAAAGCATTTGTGTTTCTAAATCAAGACAAAATATTAAAGTGTTAGTGTATAAGCACCTCATTTATTGACCTAATGAGGAGTTTTTGGTTTTTATTTATTGTGGATAAAGAAAAAAAGGGTCTAAAGGAAACTCCAACTTGATAATTTTGTTTCGATTGTCATCTTTTACATATTACAGAACTTTAATATTTTATTCATTGAATCCTTCAAATGGGATGCACAATACAAAAAAAAATATACAAGTCTAGTTTCTGCAGTTAATCTCCAAGACTATCTTTGTAACTGCTAGACTAAGAAACAACCAGATCTCCAGCATGGGGAGTCTCCTAAAGTGAGGTGGTGCTGTACTCATACCATATAGCAATAAAAATGTCTTGGGAATGTCATAAGAGTAACAAAAACTAAGCACCCAGATATGCACAAAGTTTCATTAATTCCAATGTCTCCTCTTTAATTTCCATCATTACATTTGCACAATGATTACAATTTAAGGTACTAAAGGTTTCTTTGCCATGATCAGATCTATTGCCTGTGATAGTTGGGTATATGGTATAACTCTTATTAATTCAAACTCAGAGGGATGGCTTAAACAGTTCAAATTAAAAGACGACCATTTATTTTTAGCCAGACAGACATTTCCCAGGAATGTCTGTCTGGCCATGTGTTATCTTGCTGGAAGATAGCTGTTTGAAGCCCTGCCACGAAAGGCAACAGTACACACGAAATGTTGTGCCCATGTCATGTCATCAGTGTCCCTCGCACTACTACTAGGGGTGACTAATTTTGTACGAGATGGCTCCTCGGACCAGCAAGCCAGCAGTGGGGACATTATGCCACTCAACAGTAATGGAGGGATTGAAGCACGGTCCCAAACAGAATTGGGGTTTGTTGGTAAAGACAATGCGATGCTAGTCTGTAGCAGTCTGTGCTTTTCTCTCACGGGACCACAAGTGAAGCCAATGATGCATTACAGTTGCTTTGCATCTGCTTTTGTCTGTCAATGGTATGATAAGAGGCAGGAATTCTGTAGTAAGACTCCCACCTGTCTCTGGATGGGGGACAAAATATGCCATTGTATCTGTTTGTGCTGGTCTTGTAATCATCTCTCCTGGTGACTGTCATACCAACTCCATCTATTGTATGTAAAGGTCATAGGCTGGCCATTCTGATCTGATTTTCGGGCAATGGATTCATGGAAGCTTGTACACACTGTTAAAGACATTCTCAAGCATGCTTGGCATTCAAAGACCTCCAAACAACAGGTACACTAAAAATTCTGAACACAGCCATTTTATTGGATAGCGGATTACTGAGTGATTTTAAGGCATATGGTGGCATTACCTGGCATGCAATCAGATTACAATTGTAATCATATAAATATCTGTCAGAGACATAGCTGTATGCTGAGTTTTCTAGTAAATCAGATAATTCTGTTTGGGTGCATAGCATTTTTGTCAACGAATTAATATGAAGGTATAATTACTAGAGAGCTTTGCTTCCTAATATAGACTAACACCTATATACAGTGGGTGATCTGAACGTAATTTGTTCAGAGAGAATGTTTGCTACCTGAATTGTTCATTAACCAATCACCCATTGTACTTAGAAAAAAGCATTATAGTCAATGATGCAAATAGCTGGTCATTCACAACATTTACATAGAGGGACATTAATTGCCACTCTAGTGGGCAATACTGGCAAAATGTTAAAGCGGCACTGGGCCAAAGTTTCGTGGTTGCCATCATACTTGACGTAATGTACCGCATGGTCCTTCCAACTTGAAGTTGTCAAACAGACAATCACTTTTGCCAAATTGTAGGGGAAGATATGAATTAGTAAAGCACAAAAGTTTCATAATTCTAATTCATTAAACAGCTGAAAATAATTGCATATCATACGACTGAATGGGGATATTAGATTCAAAATATTAAAAAATATTATAATTATATGAATAAATACTATATAATATTAATTAAACTTTTTAGAATAGATGCAAAAGCATTTTTTAAAGATCCTGCTATGTTTCTACTAAATCTATTTCACAAAATAGGAGGTACCAATAAACAATTAGAACAGAAAAACTGAAAATATCTTCCCCTAGGACCTTTGCAACTGAGTTAAAATGGTTTAGTCTGTCTTGACAACTTTCCTACAACCTTTATGCCCTATTTAGGCTTACATTTGTTCATTTTTGGGACCTCCTAGATTTAAAAACATTTATTTAATTTTATTATGGGTATATGTGTGTGAGATGCTGTAGAAAAACTATGACCAATGATTGACTACCATTTCCATCGATGCTTGCTTGAAAAGACTGTAACACACATATACATATAATAAGTAGATCAATCCTATTCTTAGTTGGAGAATTTCAATGTTATACATTTATTGTTCACCAACCATACCACTTGACTACTCTTATGTAATAGTGTGAATAATTTGAGACTTGAGCTCCGACTCTGTTCGGTGTTCTATTTATTTATCGTTATACAGGGTGACCGAATCAAATATTACCTACGTTGACTAACAGTTCAGCAGTTTAGTTATATAATGTTAAGTAAATAAAGACTGAACACAACACTGTGCCATTATATAGAGGTGGTAGTTTTCTTTAATTAGAAGTGTGGAATTTCCTTTAGGAAATTATTTAACTGTTTTAGTGAGTAGAGTCAACTTGCCAGTAATCTCCTCTTGTATCCACTATTGCATGATAATACAAAAATTTGACAGTGATGTAGGAGCTATGGGTTAACTATAATTGGTCTGGGAGAAAACTTGTCATTTCTATTGTTTGGCTAGCTCTTGTATAAAAATATATCAAAATTATTGTGACATTTAGTAAAAGTATTACGATAATTCTGCTAAAATGTTGGAGACTGAATACACTAAAGGTGCTGTTGAAATTAATTCTTCTATGATTAAAATGAGAAAACATAATGATAGCATTATTATTATTTTTTTAATCTAGACTTTACATCCAGAAAAAGCTAAAGAGTTTGAACTTGGGAACAAAATGCTCTGTAACACTGGTCTATGGTCAAAGCAATGACGGAGACTACCCCATCAATCTGCTGAGAAACATTGCTATAAAGTAAGTTATAATTATGAGTGCAATATCTATAATGTCCTTAAATAAATTACTTAAATTTAATAGACAAACAGAAACTAAATTTCTCCTCCTGCTCGATGCGGACTTCCAACCCTCCCCGAATTTCCAACAGCACTTTGCATCGGTGATTAAACACCTGCGCACGAATCCGAAGACTGCTTTTGTAGTGCCTGCCTTCGAATATATTGAACTACCTCAGGTAAAAATAATAAAAGGTATATGCAAGAATACTAAGTTTGCATTTCTAGAGGCAATCCAAGTATTTTCTTAGAGCAGTTGTAATTTTTTGAATTTCCTCCCTCTCCTGGCATTATCTGTAATTAATTAATTCGACTGAGATTCTTATCAATTTTTTTTTAGTAGAAACGAGACAATGTTCCACAAACAAAAGAAGAATTACTTCAGCTGCTTCACAGAGAAGATCCCTTTATACTTCCTTTTAGTATCCTTTTGACTATTAATTGTAATTTAAATTAGCTTTAGACAATGCCATTCCTTTACCAAATGATCAGGATTATCCGAGTCGGCAGAATCTCACCGACTCACAGACTACTGGAAGTGGTACAGGGCGGATAGAATTTATCAAGTGCATGGCTACAGTGATAAATACGAACCGTATCTAGTTGTGCAGTGAGTTTAGCTTTCATATCGACGAAAAATATCAATTTGTGTTTACATTGATTTTATTTTAACAGAAATTCTGCTCACTTACCTCTGTACGACGAGCGTTTCACCGGTTATGGTATGAATAAAGTGACACACTGTACAGAACTATTTGCATCTGGGTAAGCTTGTGTGAAATCTTAAAATTAACAAGTTCTTATTAATAACAAATTGATGTTTTCGATATAGGTTTGTGTTTTATGTTCTTTCCGATGCATGGGTGATTCATCTTCCTCACAAAGCATCTTCATATTCATTAGAATTTCTTCAGGTATGTTTTTGTGATTATTACCTATATCAGATGGTCTGTTTTTAAATTAAACTTTTGCCTGCTGACAGAATCCATATCAGCGACTGAGAAATCGTATGGAGCGGTTTGAATTTATAGCAACCATCATGAGGAAGCACAGACTAGGAAAATGTAAACTTAAATAAGAAAATAAAATGTTTTAATTACTAAAATTTCTATATTATTAATCTTTGCTTAAATAAATACAATAAATTTCATTAAAAATGTGTATAAATCTTCCGCTCTCTAAATATATCACAAATATCAATTAGTTTTTACTTGTATCCAAAATATCTGCGGAGAAGTCGTCATTGCCAAATGAAAGTCCACAGCTGAAACCATCCTATTTGAGGAAAAAAAAAATCTGTAATTATGCTTGGTGTGAAAAAACAAGCTTCGACTTACCCTCATTTCTAGAAGCTTTTTATCAATTGCACCTATCGCATTCTCCAGATCTATTTCTTTTATCGAGAAAGCGCTGAAATCACCCATTCCGAAGGGATCATCTACTGTCGATTGTGTTGGATTGAATGGTTCTGCACCAAACAAATCTGTGTTACCTGAAAGATTCGGCTTTTAGCTTCAAAGATTACAAAATGTTGTTGCGTTGGAAGGATTTACCATTTGTAACATGTTTGTTTCCCACATTGACGTCCTCCATGTCGGCCAGCAACAGATTTTCGAGTCGTCTACCGACCGTTGGCATTTCGTCACCAAGAAGATCCTTAAATATAAAAGTAACAATTTAGAAGTTTTAAAATTAATCACGAACAAATCAGACGCGAAATTATACCTGAACATCCGATTTCTTATTGCCGTCAACAAGCTGTTGATATTCAGATATTTTCTTCTTTAATTCGGCATTTTCTGCTGTTAGATCACAAACCTAGTTGTCGACAAAATGAGCTCAACTTTGGTTCAAAAGAATTAGAAAAAATTAAGAACCATACAAACCCTCTTTTGCAATATCATGCAGCGTTTCTTCATTTCTAGATCCTTGTTAAACGTTTCTAGAAATCTTCTGTAAGCTAGATCGAATGCTTGTCCGATCGTCAATGTGATTTCTTCTGCCTGAGGACAACATTCCATGTTAGTCGAGTGTCCCGCAAAAATATACACGAATATTAAAGTAACGCTACTTACTAGTTTATCGCTTACAAATACGAAACATTTATGCTTATCGGTCTCTATCTCCTTTGCAATGAAGCTGAAGAATTTCTTGTCCGACTTATCGTCAGCACAATATGATATTCTATGTAGGGGATATGTGTAATATACTTTCTACAAACATTATAAAAGATATTTAGTTTTGGCTAGACTTCTAGTGTGCTTTTTATTTCATTTATACTAACTTTAGCTTTTGGCTCTTGGATCGCCACGCCGTCTATGGATATGGTCAGTTCGACTTTCGGAATCTTTGTGCCATCGGCCCGCTTCACTTGCTGGTTGAACTGAATGGCCAGAATTTGATTCAACATTGGCTTTAAAACTGTTATTGCTACAAAATAATTACATACCTTCAACTTTCTGATTCCTTCCTTGACAACATCTATACCCTTTGCCTGTTCGACTTCCGTGCTTCCTAGAAACTTAAATGAAAATATTCTAATTGTTTTAAAATTATTTTTCGTTTTCCTTATTGTTTAAATTAATATTTATCCGATTCTTTTGTTTTCCTAGAAACTTCATCATTCTTTCTAAATTACCAGAAAACCTGTTTTGTGAAAACTTAAGCTGAAATTACTGCCAACAAATTACTATTATAATGATGGTCGTGGTGCCGAATACAAATGATGTGTATCAAGTTTTTGACACAGTTTGCATTAGCCGTGCTTAACGGAAAATGTCGACCTTGTACCGATGTCGTTTGGCATCAAAACCACAAGTAATTTCTTTTTTCTAGGAAGAATGCGAAATTACTTTTGCAGAGTGTAGAACTACAGAGAGATTAATTGAGCTTGCAGTTTTGATTTTTACTAACAGAAATTAACCACAGAACTTTGAATGTGACGAGACAAATGGAAGTAAGATGACAATACTACTTATGGCACTTTATAGCATTACCAGTCAAGGCATAGCTGAATGCAAATTAATGATAAATTGCTAAATTATGCACATGTATTAGTTAATCTGAATGTTTAACTATTCTTTAAATGCAACTTAAATAGTCAATATCATTAATATTTTGTTATTTTGCAGTGCTGTTTAACACAAATAAATACAAAAAAAAATGCTAAATGTGAAGTATTGGCACACAAATGTTATGGCCAACCACAATTACACTAGTCATGGGTAAGCCCAATCCACAATAGGTCAACTAGCACGGGTAAGGAAGAAAGACGGATTGAAGTGTCGTCCTCAATCTACAGGCTATTGAGAGCTTATACAGGACCAGAGGATAGAGAAGACCTCTTTAGCCCCTTTTACCATTTTGTTTTTTGGTAAATAAAATAAGTAGAATGGTTTTTGTTAGTAAAGAAACAGTCTTAATTTATAGGGAGAGGAACCACTATGGTCCTCCAATTATTTCTCTTGTATTGGGGAAAAATTTCCAGCTCTCCTGTTCTCAATGGCCCATCTACCCACAATAAATAACAGCCATCAGAATTGGATTTAAATCCAGATCCTTCTCTGCACTATGGCCGTCTGACCAATTGCAGTTTTCACTGCCACAAATTGTCATTGTCATCCTTATGATAAGATGCTATTTAAGGTTTGCAAGAGTCAAAAGTGGCAATTTGTTACAAATTTTAAGAGTCAGCTTGAAGCATACAGCATAATTTGCAGATAATTACAATACTGCTTACATTCTACAGTAATCATTAATTCACCCAATAAATCATTAATTAGTTTGTCTAAAACAATTTTAACAGAATTTATAAAATGCTTACTTTAACCAAATAAACGACGTGTCCACTTTTCAATGCCTCAGCCGAATGAATCCAGTGCTTGTTCCCTAAAGTTCGAATAATTTAAATGTTTTCAAACAACGATGCGATACAAAGCAGAAGTGGCAATTTGATGCAACTTACCTTGTTTTGAGTTACTCTTGTTGCTGTGAGTTCTCTTCAATAAAGACGACTGTTTGATCATGTCAACTACGGTTACGTTCCAAAATTTGTGAGTGATCTATGCTCCGTCAAATCCTACCTGTGTAAAAGTTTAAAATCAGACTACAGAACATAAATTTGAATCTCTAAACAAGTTTCTGAATGCTCAATTCCACAATTTTAAATAAGAGCTGTATCGTACAAGAGCGGAATTAAACAAAATAACAAATGCACTCGACAACAGTTAATCCACACGTCTCAACCGGTTTAGAATTTCGTAAGTATTATTAGATCCTGCCACAAGATTTTGCAATTTGAATACTCTGAAATCCTATGCATTGTGGACGAAGACAATTCATTTGTCTTGTTTTTAATTACATTCTAACTTCTTAAGAAAGTTTTCTAGCTGAATAAATTTCTTTTATTTTTCCTTCTTTCATAAAATAATAAAAATAAAATTCCTTACAATTCATTATAAAGAAAAATAAAACACTTAATATTCCCTGTAAAGAGAATACTACAGGACGTAATAAAATTTAGCAGATGTTTCCTGCTCATAAAGGATGTTTGTCATTATAGAATACATCCTATTTTGCAATAAAGTGACTACCGACATCAAAAGACGCTAAAACTTTGATTAATTTACGACGTTCGGTGCTATCAAATAAACATTTGTACGTCATAGCAATCTGCATGCGATAATCTGTAAATTTTAATCAAAAATTGAACGTGCACCTTCATTATATGCTCTTGAGCAAGTGGGTGATTATATTTAATAAACCCATATCATTTATGTGCATTTTCTTCAATTCTTCACTTGTTTTATCATGATATCTTAGATAATTGTCAATGTTTTCATACATCATTAATGTATGTTTGCTTGTGTTTAGAAGTTATCTGCTACACTAATAATGTCACCAACATGCACATTATAAATGCCGAAATATGTAAGAAGTTATGCAACTTCCTTTCACCTGCTTCATTAAACTCAGGCTACTATTACTAAGACTAGGAGAAATTATTATAAATTTTTATTTGTAATCTTAGTTATCTAATACAATCTTTGAGCAGATATTTACACAGAACATTTTCTTACAAACCACCATCAAGTATAATCAAAATACTAGACAAGATCATTGAAGCTGGCATTAATGGATATGTGTTAATGGATACGTGTGTGGCACACCCAATACTTGCAATTTAAATAAATTATTGGGCAAGTTATTATATAGGTATCAGAGAATCTTGTAATACCCATAGGAATGAATCTGTTGCACCCGTGTTGGAGTATTGTAAAAGCCAGATTACTACTCTATTTTTCTAAATATAAGTTATATTCTGTTTCTAATCTACTATACATTTTAGAAATTCTACATAAACAAATTTGCAGAATTACAAACAACCTATCAGAGCTTTATGTCAAATTAAATATTAACTTTAAAAAATTCCATTGCTTTCTTTATACTGCACCAGTTCAAGCATTACTAAAAATTGAAAAACAAATCTTGAAAAATGCATTGGTACTAAGGGAATGAATGCAGAAAACAGAAGCATGACACCATTGCTTCATTCCACACGAGAGGTCCTTATTTATTCAAAAGAAATAGTTACAAATCTAAATCTCCATGCACTGGGTTTAATTATTACATGATTATGATACTAAAACCTGGAAAGGTCTATGAGCAAGAGCATTACAAGCCCAATTCAAAAATCACTTGCAAAGTTTATATTTTATTAACTGACAGGACCCCCAAATACAAACTAGATTTGCCATTATTACTACTACAAATCTACAATTATTAATTTGATACACTCAATATGAATGTGCCATTTGCATTATTGAAAGAATCTGTATTCAATATTACTACTACTACTATTATTATTATTATTTTGACATCACCACTGATCCTGAATTACTCTGCTGTCACTAATATAATAATTGTAGGGAAGTATACAGCTGTACAGATTACAAATGCATTAGAAATGGCCGTATATAATCAGAAACATAATTTATATAGAGATTTAAAGGCACAATTTAAGATTTGAGTGTACAAATTCCAGCTTTAAGAGGAACAATAAGAAACTTGTTGCATTATTATTGAATTATTCAGTTGAAAGTTAAAAAAAAACAACAAAAATTGAATATTTAAAACCGACACACACACAAAAATAAAATAAAATGTGCTGCGGTGAGCAAATTTTCAAAGTAACAATACATTACACAACATATCCTCCATCCTTATCCTAAATAAAATGCAGGAAAAACGTGTTTAAATATAGGAGTGGGAAAAATGACTTTTGTTCCTAATTAAGCTCTATATATACATAAATATATCCACACAAAGAAAACTTATTAGAAAAATACACGTACTGTACGCATCTATACACGAATAATGTTATTTTCTAGACAGTAAATGAGTAATTTAATAAAGAATAAATGAAAAATTATGCACGGGTGTTGGCTAGCATGCAACATAATACATATAGATTATGCAAAACGTCAGCATTTTCAGTACATAAATAACATCCTGTCAACGTATTGGGCAATTGACAGGTGTAAAAAAAAATTGTCTATAACAGAAATGTATGAGAAATTGGCTAGAAGATGAAAGACGTGACCTTCTGACCTAAATGCATAAAGCTTCCTTCATTTACAAACTTTACAAATTACACACTTGTAAATAGATTTTTTTACACATTAAATTATACGTAACACCCTTTACGTGTTTATAAAACACTTTAAATATACAAAGAGTTTATTAAACTTACTTTTTATCGAAGTACGTTCCTTATCTGTCTTTCGGGTTCGACTTTGCTTTCAACCTGTTGCTGACGTCACCGGTGCGAGTAGTGGCCGTCACGTGATCGACAGCTGGGGAGATGTGTACAGTACAGTACATATATATAAGAGCAAACCAGAATTTTTCACATCGACGCCTTTCAGAAAATAAAATTCTGTACTTACCAACTTTGAGGGGGAGGGGTTCGAATTTTTTAGGGATTTTTCTTTATTCTCGCGTGTGTAAACCCGTACATTTAGTATAGAATCATAAATTAACACGAATTATCGGTCGGGTTGTACAGTTAACAAATGAAAATTCAATTTATAAATTACACCAGGAAGTGATTTGTGTGTCAACTATGCACAGCTGCACTTTACAGGATTAGGCATCGAGGTGATACGAAGATGTTTTTTTTTCCTGCTTTAGAAATTAAAAAAAAAAATCGTAGACGAATTTATGACGTAAAGTTTTATAGTTTTAAGGAGGTTATTGACCATTAAATAAATGTTTTCTGTGTAGCGACGTCTGACTAATGGCGACCACAAATAAGTAAAGCACAACGATTTCACCATTCAACAAGGGCGTAGAAAACAGGGATTCTTTCGAAGAAAACGTGAAGGTCACGACGATTGAAATCATCAAAAATAGTTGAAAATAAAAAAAAAAAAAAACATTTATTTTCTTTTTAAAAAATGTTTAAAAATTAATCATTTTTAACTTATTTATTCGAATTTTATTCGTCGTTTTAAATAATAGAAAATCGATTATTTACATTAGAACAGCTGATGAAAATGACGCAATAAAAACGTCACTAATAGAAATTGATTAATTAATAAAGAAGAAAAAAAACAGCTGACGAAATTGATTAGTAAAGAATAAAATTGAATATTTTAAATAATAAATTAATTTATTAACATTAAAATCGAAACAGCTGATTTAACTTAAATAAATCTGATGAAATTTATTATTATTATTTTTTTTTTTTTAATTTACAAGAAAATTTCTGTTTGAAATTAATTAAAATCAAATGAAAATCGAAATTAAAAAGTGATATTTTTTTTTAAAAAAATCAGCTGATGAGTATGAAGTTTATTAGAAAACAACAGTTTAAAAGGCTGATTAACCTCTTCGGTTATGCGCGCAATCTCCACCAGATGGCGTTAAAAATTTAATGCTTTTTCTATGGGAAACTTATTGTCGAAAACGGAAGCGCATAGAACCAAGCAGTTTTTTTTTTAGTGTTATAATCCTATTTAATTCTTTTATTAACGTGAGGCTCGGAAGTTTGAAAATCGAATTCATTACCATTTTAAAAATTCATAAAAATATTAACGAATTTAATTTTTCAAATTCTGAACTTTATATATTAGTAGAAGCAGAATTAAGTAGGATTCTAACGCTTAAATCTGCTTCCATTTTAGACAATTTTTGAAAAAGCAGTGTCCCATATCCCATAGAAAAAAGCATTGAATTTTTACCGCCATCTGGTGGAGATCGTGTGCATAAACAAAAAGTTTACAATTAGCCTTAAAATAAAACTAAATTAAAAACGAATAAAGTCAATATTTAACTGATTATTTTATCAAATTTATTCATCATCATCTCTAATTTAATTCTAATTAAATTATCTGTTTCCGTTTAAACTGTCCTTTTCTAATCGATTTCGTACTCATCAGCTGATTTTTTTTAAACAATAGTTTAACGGTGTAAGAATTAGTTTTATTAATTGTCTCCGGCTTTTTTTTAATTTATTAGTGCAATTTATTTAAAAATTAAAAGCACGTGTTTCGTTCAAATCAATCAGTTTCTTTATTTTAAATAATAAATCATGAAATTGACTTAAAAAAAAAAGAACAGCTGGTTAAAGTGATTATTTAAAATGAAGGAATTGATTAATTTAAGCGAAACACGTGGTTTTAATTGTAAATACTGATATTGACAAGTTAAAAGGCTTAATTACAATTAACGAAACTGATTAAAAAAAATAATAATAATAATAATTGTGTAATGACGTAAAAAATAAGTAACGAGTATTAAATTGATAAGAAAAGAATACTGTAAATGAAACTGAAACAAATATTGTAGCACGTGTTTAAGTAATTAAAACAGCAATTAAACTATATTTAATGGTATTTAACTTATAATTAACTTTTTCAGATAAACTTAACTCAGCCCTCATCTAAATTTATCCGGCTCTATAACTTATCACGAAAGAGGAATAAATATCGACAGAAAGGAATTTATATTCGTTAATTATACCGAGTGTAATCGAAAATATCCATAAGAGGAAAGAGCAATAATAGTATTTAAATAGCTTAAAGGCGGATAATGATCGATATAAAAAACTTACAGAACAAAGATAGACGGGGGAGATTTATTAGATATTATTGAGAAGTTGTCATTTCCACAGGAATTATTTTCTAAGCAAAATGAATCACTATACTATTCAGGAGGCTCCTTAATTGTGGGTGCACAGCAAGGTTTCTTATACATCTAGAGTGCTTAATGTTCTCAGTGTTTTGTTCGTTAGCAGGCTGATCATGACAGCTTCCACTTAGATCATCCTTTCTTGTAATATATATATATATATATATATATATAAAGGGTGATAATATAACTGGAGATGTGCAGAGCTGCCCATATATAACCTAGATCTTGAAACCTGCACATCCCTTAAGGTACAGTACGTTAAAATTTAGAATTTTTAATAAAAATTAACTCAGTTTATATTCAGTACAGATGAATATTTTTACTTCAAAAATGGGTAAATATTACTATACTTGCCTCATATTTATCATGGTTGCATCTGTAACGGTTCAAGGGCATGGTGATAGAAGTGATGTCTCGTTGTTGGACGTGGCATCGCAACCTGTGGTTTTTAACAGCCCCGACGAACTAAGATCTTATCTTCAAGAACTGGATAAATTCTTCGTTATAGCCGGAAGACCAAGGTAAAATTACAATTTTCTATAGAATTTTTGTTTTTCTTTTGTTTACAAAAGTGGTTTACGCAGCTCTCGCTTCTTACAGATTCGGGAGGAGCGGTGGTAATGGCGCACTTTTCAATCGTAACTACTATCCAAGAAGTAACGCTATTTCGAGTTCTTTCTAGATATTATTCATTCTTTGTTTCTCTTTCTTCGATAACAGTCTCTGTATTAACAACAATTTATTGTGTAAATTAACATGAAGAAAATAAACAGTCTTGCATCAATACAGTGTGACGTGATTATATCAATAATATATTTATTTTAAACATGTTTAAAGTAATATGACGTGTAATTTATTTCATTTCATAGAAGATTTATTTACAAGACGGGCGACTTAAAAAATTTTATACGATAGAGGAAGCGATTAAACAACTCAAACTTTAAAATTATTTACTACAATTTTACTTTTAATTATGATTAAATTTTTATTTAAAAATTTGTTATAGAATTGTAATATAAACCTACCGAAAAAGATCGTCAGGTCCGGAATACAAATACGGAGTGTACAGGTAAAAAATGAAAGATATTTTGTTTTTCTGAATAAGATCTCCTCTATTTGCTAAAATGGAAAAAACACCAGTATAATAAGTCCTATTAATTTACAGAGTCCAACGTAGACAATGATATAATAAAATACAATATTTTTTTTTACATAATTTATGAAATTTGTATGCATTATTTCAGATATTGTACTGCAATCACGCTGTATAGGAAGAACTCTGTTAAACGATCAACAAATTCCACAAAGTAATGTTGCTCATTGTATTGGCTAATCATTTGGAATAGCCAATCAGCGACCGGCTTATGAGAGACGCGAGACCAGAGACGGTGACCAGAATAAGGCCCCAGTATACCTATCGACTCTGGTTACAATAGAAGCGCCACCATAGAGTTAATGTTTGTCTAACTTTACAGAAAATGGATATGGAAAACTTAAAAAAGAAAAAGTGATAAAATATAAAACTAGGAAAATTTAATTAATGATGAGTATAATAAAATAATAAATATGTCAATACTGGAATTATTTAAAACCCCACTTTCTAATAACGACTGTTTACATTAGGAAAAGAAGCAGCACAATACTGTTAATATTTTCATAGTGTTATACATTAAATGGCACTTGGAAATTATTATATTAAAAAAGAAATATTGCATACCAAGCAATTCCTCTTTACAATATACCAACTAAAAAANTGGTTGCCGTTTATTAATATTGAAGATAAATAGTGCATCTTGTACAGTACATACATCCTTTACATAAAATATTGTAACAGATGGAACCACCAAATGTCGCCGGGGAAAGTTAAGCAACTGATTGCTGTATTTTTTTATTTTTTAATTTCTAAGTGTTTATATTTACTTTCGGCACGTGTTAATCAATAATACTTTCTTAATTAGCGACTTAAGTGCTTTCGTTTTAAATGGGAACGGAATTTACTTCCTCTATTCGAAAATCGAACTAATGACACAAATGTAAATTAATGGCATAAGACCACACTTAATAATTTTCTTGTTCTCTGCGGGTTGTTGATCGAATTTATAATCTAAAATGTCAAAGATTTCAAATGTTTTCATGTAGTCAACAATATTAACTTTTAATTAATTAATATGTTAATATTAAAATAATTATAGAGCCTAGCAAACAGGCTAACCATATGGAGTTTTCCGCATTTTCTTCACGTTATTAACACTTAAATATGGGCCAGTTTCACTTAAAAGTCCTTCTGGAAGTCATCCCCACGTGTAGCGTTAACAAAATAAACCAAATCTTTTAAGTATTAATTTAAGTTTATATTTATTTACAGTAAAACAATTAAATTAAATAATTAACCAGCACTATTGAAATCATTCATATCAATGAATGATTTCAATAATGCCACGGCTCGCTCTTCCCACCGTGTGTTTCATGGTGCAGGGGTCAGCGTCTTCACCTTTCGAGCGAATGTCTCCGATTCGAACTTCGTTAATGCGGTTTTTTTTTTGTGTGTGTACGTTCTCTCGGTCTGAAAACACATGGTAATTTGTTAGCATTTACATATTTTTAACATGTCTCCGTAGTATATAACCGCGAGCTCTCAGGTTGAGGGCGGTTCTTGTTCTCGTACTGAAAGCTGCAGTAGTTATACTATACGTTCTCTGAGTGAATAAATATTCCTTTGTGTTCCTAACGACTGGTTGCCGTTTATTAATATTGAAGATAAATAGTGCATCTTGTACAGTACATACATCCTTTACATAAAATATTGNCATGGTAATTTGTTAGCATTTACATATTTTTAACATGTCTCCGTAGTATATAACCGCGAGCTCTCAGGTTGAGGGCGGTTCTTGTTCTCGTACTGAAAGCTGCAGTAGTTATACTATACGTTCTC